CAAATTTGAATCATGTTCGATACAAAGGCAGTGATTTGCTTCTGAATCCATCATTTTGGCACTAGCAAAGGCGAATGATGAATTGTCCCACGACTGACAGGTTTTACTGAATCTAATTTCCCTGCAGAATTTCATGCGAAATTTGCTGGGGTGAATAGTTGAGAGTGTGAATGATACATATGATCCAGCGTAATTTCCTTTTAGAATTCGGAAAAATATGATGACATGGCCGCTAATATTAAAGCCTCTTAGACTGTAATGAAAAACTGTCTAATGCGAAGTTTAACTAGAGCAGTGGAGCGCATGATATGCCCTAATCTGATTACCTTCTACGAAGGACGATGATCTCATTACAGAACATAATCGGTGTGCAGGAAAACTCGCACGATAACCGAAACGGTTTTCATAAGGAAAGGTTTCCGTTATTTATAAAATTAACCTTTATGATGTTTACGATCGTCTTTTGTGGTCCATATGAGAATAGCTTTCTGCATTTTCTGTCGGGAGAGCAGAAATTGTAATACTGATAGTTGTATCGTTTTCAAATTACGTATGGACATGTGTAACGACGCAGCTAACAATGAGACTGGGCGCCTTAACCAGGGTCAACCGTACGTTGGTCCAATTCTAAAAATTCAACGACCCCCCCCCTTCCTAGAGGGAGTTCGACACGATCTCCCAATACCACCACCAGCTCTACAAGAGTTCCTTAATACAACCACCCCTCCTCATCCTCATCCACCACCCTTCCCATCATGGCTCTTTCGGTAGTTATCTAAATCTAAGACTCAGTCGACATACCAACTTTGCCCATTGTCGAAATCCTACAGTTTTGACCACTTCACACTCACTTTTTCAAAATTTCCCCAAATTCTGAAAACACCGTCAGAAACCACCCCCTTCTTCAGCCATAACGACCCCCTCAAGAATACGACGAGCTTCCTTTAAAATCTTCGGGCCTCCACCAACTCCAAATACGGTCCCCTCGTCGAGAAATGCGCAAGGTAGGTTGAACCCGGCCGCGACACAGAATTGCTCTCTACCACCGGTTCGAGCAGCGAAAACGTTCCATCATTCATCAGCAACCACGGTCACAGGAAGAAGTTCAGTTAACGTGGACGGGATATGGTCACACAAATGTTGAGGCTGCTTCTCAATGCGCCTGTTTCGGAAAAATCTGTAGGCCAAAGCATTAAGTTGCTTTTTACTCCTTAGCGCTATATTTGCTTGCTATCTGCAGATTCCACAAAGCTCACGTCTGTCATTTGCGCCCATTTAGGTACCGTGGTAAACAGCTCCCGATAAATCTCTAGACGTCGTGATTGTACGATTGGTTCACCCATGGAGTAAGGAGCTGCTTGGAACGTCCCAGATAGGTGGTGGTTTACCCATGGAGCAAGCAGGCTCCTTACTCCATGGGTAAACCAATCGGACAATCAGGATGCATGGCAAAGTTTGGCCCATGGAACGGCGCGAAAACCATTGAAGAGTGGACTTTGGAATACTCACGAGGGTGACCGGTCAAAGCGCAAACTCTCCTAGTCCTGTGCTTTTTTGGATTTACTGCGACGCCCACAATTCGTTAGAAATAAGTCAGCCTTAAGCGCGTCTGTATGAGACTTTGCCTCGAATACTGCTTATTCGTCTACCGATAGTGACAATCTCAGGGCAACTTTTCCAATGTTTAAATGCTGTAACTCACAATATTGTTTTCTTTGCCCATTTCAAATTTAACGTTCTAGGAAATTGTTGTTCTTGTACGTGTCCTGCACTCAAAACAACGCTTTACTGCTTGGCTACCAAGGATTTCATACATTTTATTCGCAAGAATCATATAAACAATTATTCATATCAGTGAACCAACGAATTTAGTATGGATTTGGGATAGGATTTTGCGCTGGTGGTGCCGCTTGCTGGTAAACGGGTTGAGGGGGAGCCTGTGCCGCGGGTGGAGCCGGGTATTCCGTGTTAGAAGGTGCTTGAGCAGGTGGTGCCTGAGTAGTAGTTGTTACGTACTCCTGCTGCGGTGCAGCGGAAGCTGGGAGCAGCCTGATAGGATGGCGGGGAGGCAGCTGGTTGTTGTTGATAGGTGGGTTGGGAAGCCGCTGGCTGTTGGTAGGTGGGCTGCGAAGCGACGGGTTGCTGTTGGTAGGTGGGTTGGGAAGCCAGCGGTTGTCCATATGGCTGGGAAGCTGCGGGTTGCCCGTATGGCTGGGAAGCTGCGGGTTGTCCGTATGGCTGCGAAGCGGCAGGCTGTCCGTAGAAGGGCTGTGCCGGTTGTTGGTAGATTGGTGGTGGTGGAGGCGGTGGTGGGAGAGGCCTCTTTGGAGCACAGCAGACACACTTCACGTTGCTGAAGTACGGCAGCGGCTCGAATTCCTTCTGAAAACACGTGCATTAGGAATCAAGAACGCTGTTCTGTGCCCAAATACACTTCAGTAATTGTGGACTCAAGAAGCGGAAATGCCCGAGGGCACTCTTTGTCAGCGACATGTACGGAATTTAAAAACAAAAGTTGCCTATCCTTATTGAGAGGTCTCTCCCGGGGGTGGAAGTGCTAGGTCCGCAACTGCAGAGGTTGCAGCAACTTATCAGGACACATATCAAAATTTTTTTTTTTTTTTTTTTTTTTTTTTTTTTTTTTTTTTTTTTTTTTTTTTTTTTTTTTTTTTTTTTTTTCTTTTTTTTTTTTTTTTTTTTTTTTTTTTTTTTTTTTTTTTTTTTTTTTTTTTTTTTTTTTTTTTTTTTTTTTTTTTTTTTTTTTTTTTTTTTTTTTTTTTTTTTTTTTTTTTTTTTTTTTAATAATTTCCAAAAGCATCTGGACGATTTTGTCAGTTTTTACCCATCAATGGAGGTCAACAACACCCGACTGGTGCTCAGTAATTGACAGAGACTCGTCTAATTTTTGTATCGAGCTAAATACTTCTCTTCTTGCTTGATCTGTTCGTTCTCACTCCTACAGGATTTTCATTTGATTGGTGACCCTGCTTTCACCCTCCCTCGCCTCTCCTGAAGTTCGATAGTATACAACAGTAGCTCGTAGGTATTGCGATGCTAGCTTCCTCGACCCCAGTATGCGTCGGTTAATATGGAGAGTTATAGATTCAGCGGCGGCAGAGGCCTTCTTTTAAGCCCCAACAGGGGATATCCAACCTGAAATCACTATATTTCTTGGTGATTATATGGTTCTTGGTTGAGAGAGCACTCGGTAACTTTACGGCACAATCGTGCTTGTAGTAGGTGCTCCCCTTGAACTGTCCACAAGATACCTCATCGAAACTCATAACCCTTGCCAACAGCTTTGACTTAATCTTCGTAGTAGCTCGCCCCCATTTTTAGAGGTGGGGGGGGGGGTCAAGCCGCGCTAAGTGAATCATACAGTGGATGGTCCCAAGGCGTTTATTGCTGCGAGAATTCCTTGATGATCTTTCTTGAAGTCAATCATACAGAGAGTTCGTTCGTTATCCACAATTCATCCCCGTTTCTTAACTAGGCTGAAAGACTCACCTCACGAAGCTTCAAGTGATGAACCTTTGTTGGTTGCGAACGTTTCACTCGAAGCTGCAATGGGATTAGATAAGGGATATATTGAAAAGTCTTTCAAAGAAAATCAATCGATTCAATCTTGGCAAAGATATTTTGCTTACGTGATCCATGTCCTCGTCGGAGTCATCACGATCGCGGTCGCCACGGTCGAAACGTCGGTCTTCGAAATCGTCGGTGATGGCCAGAATCCGACGAAGGCAGACTGAACAAGCTATGCAGCGTTACATGAGTACGGCTAACCTTTTGATCAAAAGGAACTTGAGAAGGTGACAAGACAGGAGGAAAAGGATAGGGCTGGATGGGTAATCAGACATGTGAAGAAACTACATATGCAGGACCAGTCAAGGACAGGTCGCTGCAAGCGAAGGATTGCCCATTGAAGGAAGTTCAGAGCTATGCTCATCGCTAATCATTCTGCATGAGCTTCACAATAGCAATAAAGCTATTGGACCAGCTCGGACCGGAGTCGTCTTCAAGCCAAGCCAAATGTGGCCACGGTCACGTAGCCGAGAGTTTCAGTTCTGAGCTGATTACTGAAGGTGCAGGGGATTTGATAAAGGGCCAAGGTGTTCGAATAACGTCCAGGGTACGAAATTAAATGGTCTGCATGACAACTCATTCAATGTCAGTACCCTAGACGTGAAACGGATTGATTAGACAGGAGGGGGGGGGGTATGAAAGGGCAAAGTCCTGATGAAGGACTTCAACAGGACTGCCAAATGGTATTGACAAGTCCTATACTTCCAAGTATAGTTGAAGTTCCATAAAATGGCCTTACGTTTGGCATGCTCTTGTCACGACGGGCAGCATGCTGACAGCAAGCGTTGCAGGAGTCCTCATCGTAGTTTGCAACCACCGAACACCTAAATTTCGAGTACATGGCGCAATCTTTCAATCAGAGGTTTACTGGCTAAGCTCTTACCGAACTCGGTTAGCGCGGTTCATCGGAGGGAAACCAGGAGGGTGATGGCGATCGCGATGGGTTCGTCGGCTATCCACCACGAGAAGCACAGAAGCGTCCAAATCGCAGACATCGCCTAAAAAAGGGATAAAATTGACATGAGGACAAATTCAATCACCGCTCTTCAAAATTCTTAAGTGCTACGAAAAGTTGACTTACGGTCTACCAGAGGCGGTGGTGGCGGTGGCATGTATTGGTAAGCCATGTACGGTCCGTACGGCGGTGGGTTACCGTATCCCTGATCGTAGCTGGGAGGCGGTGGTGGTGGTGGAGCGTAGCTTGGTTCATCGTAACTAGGCGACGATCCGTACGAGCCTTTCGCAGTAGCGTTTTTCACCTGAAACTATTTCTTACAGGAGCTATTTGGCTAAAGTCGGATGGGTAGCCTTTGTTTGCAGCAGCGATACCTCTTGCAGAAGGGCTCACGGCAACAGGTGGCGCGCTCGGTAGAAATTCTTGAGATTTCGTTGGTGTGACTAAGAAATTTTGCTTGATTCAAGGGAAATTGGAAGATTGGCTTCTGCACACTCAACAACTACTTTTTCCTAAAGATCTGGCCGCCTTGATTCAGCTATTGGAAAAGGGAAATCCGCTCGCACCACAAAAATTCAAATGAATCATTTCTCAGCAGAGAAAAGCTGGTCCAGGTGTGGCCTGTAGCAGGCCTCTACAAAAAAACTCGCTTTATTTGGAATTTTTGAGTTGAGGCGACCACAAAAATGGAAATAAGGCAGCGTTCTTCCAAGCTTTAGAACCTACCATGGGTTCTGTTGCAGATCACTGCACATAAAGCAGGACGTTAGAGAAAAAGGATTTTTGTCACAATCGGAAAGCTTTGCGCATCTAATTGTGATAAGTCGTCCAAGTCCCCAAATGGGAACTTTCCTCGACTGTACTCCAGAAGGAACCTGAATCTGAGCTGAGAGCAAGGTTCAGCCCAGCTTTCTGCACTGATTGACACTGTTGCAGCTGGAGTAACATTTTGGGGTCGCCAGCTACTTCGTCAATCTCCTCACACGCTTTTTTACAATTTCTCCCAATTTTAACTGGGTGACCCTTGAATGTCAGTTTGTCCAATAATAATAGTCAGATATATTATATATTAATACCTACCACTTAGATTTTCCTTGTATTCTCACGGCCACTCTTTAAATTTTAGATACCCTACCCTTAATCATGTTAGTAACTCAAGCCCTTCAAATTCTTCAAGAGGTTTTAGAAGGCAAAAAATCGTAAATCCAGCCCCTAACACCCTACCTTACGAACTTATCACTTGTGTTTCTTAGTAAAGCGTTTTAAGGTAAGTGAATTCAACGAAACACGGCCTAAAACGATGAAGGAGCTCTGAAAATACTAGATTCCTCCAAAGGTGCGCTCACGTCACAGAGGTGGGGGGGGGGACATTCAAGTGAGTGAGCCACCCTCAGAATCTGGGACTTGGGCTGTTAAGGAGAGAAGATATGGGACTTTAGATTAGGTAAGAGAGAGATCTCAAGAGCATATCGGAGCATTTCGTTCTTCGCTTGGCATTCTGTCGTCTCTTGAGCTCAGTCTAGAATGTGTCGCTACCAGCAGTTCTGGACAATCACCTGTTTGTGAGTCCCCCCTACCGTTCTTCCAAGGACACGATGAGCGCCTTCGAGAGCTTGAAGCCACCCTCCTAACTTTTTTCGGATGATATATTCTCAGCCGATCTATTTCAAAAGCAGCAGTCTAGAGTATTGATCGCCCAGGAACCGATTTGAAACAAGTGAACTAACCTCATTGGCGAGACAGGAGAAGATGCAGAAGGAGGCTAGAATCAGCCACTGCATGATTCGCTGCCGAGATGCCTCTCGAGAATGCGTTCTGGTGCTTTTATACGAATGTAGAGACAGTGTGAACAGTAGAAATGAAGAGAGAGCAGCGAATTGCTCAGAGAATAGTGCTACCATCGGCAGAGAGCCGATCATAGACGAGATCTCAGTCGCTGATAGCGAGCAGAAGCAAATGTCGACCAGCAAAAACATCTTTGTCCGATGTGACACTGTGATGCGTAAGACAATGACTGGGAACAAGCATGGTCCTGCACGGGTTTGCAGACGAGTTGAGAAGAGTTAGAAAGTCTTAGTAGTTCTTCTGCGCATAATCTAATAGGGTAAGGGCATGGATCTTTGGAAAAGAAACTGCGGTAGTCACCCCTGATGGAACTGGAAAGTATTGGGCTGTTGAAAAGTTTCCGCCGATCACGACCCTAAACTTCAGAAGGGCATATCCCGGTTTAAACAAGGTATTTTGAATGGAGATAATCACAGTTATGATACAGTTCCCATACCACTGCGAACGACGAGGTTCTCGATGTATCCGAATCTGGAAAGTACTGCGGTTCTGTAGGTGAAGAACTCGGCAAAGGTCGTTTCACCATTATGTTGGGTTTCATGCTTAATCTCTTCAGAGAGACCGTCCAGATGGTTGGAAAAGTAACAGTTGGTAGGCAATGGTCTACTGTGTGGAAAGTTTGCGGCACATTCCCGCATCCCAGCTAGGTAAACATATGCACGGTTGGGTCTGCACAACAGTGGGTTAATAAGTGGCAAACAATTTCTCTGGTCTTCTTACCCTCAGCTGTATATTTCAAAAACCCATTTGGGTTACGCCTTATTCAGACGCGACCCGCCCAACAGTTCTATGTAGATCTGGTTTGATCAAAACCCTCAGTTAATCTCTGCCAGTCTCCATATCCGACCACCAGCCTAATCTCCAACGAAAGCTCTCTCCAATGCGAAAAAGACATTTTGAATTACGAGTGCACAGAAGTGCTTATTGTT